GTTCACCTTTAGGTCATAATTATGGCCAGGCTATATTGCGGCCCCTGGCAAGAGCCATAGTAGGGCTTCAAATGTAGGGCTTAAAAGGACGGGAAGTTAATTATAAACGCTAGTCACTTGTGATAATTCTTGGTGAATTAGATAACATCTGAGCGTATCAATAATCTGCCTTAACTATGATAAATAACACTTACTGTCAGATGCATAATAATAATAATTACAATCATAATAAACACGAAAACAGGAACATTTTGCAGTATGAAACATCTTCCAATATCTAATCAATTTAATTAGGAATTTAAATAAGGAAAAAAAAAGTTAAAATTTTTCTGTACATAGCAGTGTGGCGAGAAACATAGTCAACGATTAAACAGTGCAAGTGAAAAAAAAGAAAAAGTTTTGACACTTTGTTATAAAGAGGAATCAGAAGCAAATAATGAGAAGATCCATAGAGAAAAACAGTGAAAACTAAGTTTTGACAGATAGAAAAATTACTGAAAAGGCCAAAGAAACGACAATTAAAATTTTACAATGTGGTGAGATGGAATGCCTCTTAAAGGTTGATTTGGAGGGAAAACTTCGGGTGAATCAAACTAGATACAGACATTATTAGACATCATTGACAGACAACAATAAGAAATTGACTGAAAGACCTCCGCATGAAATTATCATGAACAATGTTGAGGAAGTACAGTTGTTCCTCACGGTATAGATACCATTTGATAATAATGTTTTTTTTTTTTTTTTTACTAAACTTGAAATTTAATCTTGAATGCCTATGATGCTTGTTTGACAAAACTATTATGTGGAAATCGCCATTTCAACATTGTATTTTGTCAGTGATTCATTGTAGTTGACTTATGTGTATTTTAAAGTGCATTATAGAGTATCCAACAAATTGCCATTTCTAATGTACATCAGTTATACTAGTAAGTAAAAGTAAGAAAATGACCCTTTTCCTAGCCTTCAGGCGTATTGGGCATGTAAGGCCAGACCTACATTTTATAGACCGATCAGCACTCAGCGAGTAATATGGTCAACCTCAGACCGGACGCCTTTACTTCCAAGGACTATACCTGGTATCCACTCAAGGCTGGGTCGACCTGGTAACCAAGGTCATTTTTAAAAAACGTTCGGGGACGTCAGGACCCAAACCTACTACTTTCTGATCCGCAAGCGTCTACTAGCCACGGCTGCTTATTATAGTTATATTTAATTGTATCGCAATATGACAACAATTTTACGTTATCACTGTAAACAAAATGAGAATAATTTTCCCAAAGCTAAACACCAAAGAACTGTTTGTGACACAATTGTTTAATATATGTAAACTCATGTTAAGTTCTAAAGTAAAATTAATTATCATGTCTGTAACAAACAAAGTGGGGAATACGCCTTGGTATAGCGGTTAGACGCTGGCCTGCGGATAGGAAGGTCGTGGGTTCTGGTCCTGATAAAGCCTAAAATTAAAAAAAAAATGACCTGGCCTCCCACGTCAAACCAGTCTTAATTGGGTACTATGTAAAGTTCTGGGAAGTAAAGGCGACCGGTGTGATGCTGACCACATCGCTCACAAGGCTGACTGGTCTATAAAATATAGGTATAGCCCTATGTACCCAATGCCTATGAAGGAGTGGAAAGGGTCATGTAAAAACGAAGTAAACGACCCATTTTACGCATGAGACACATAGAACATTTGATGTTAACCTGATATTCTTTTCATGAGTGATCAACATCATGCCAGCCACGTTTACTTCCGAGTGCATTTCCGGGTGACCGCTTTATTATGGGTCGACTTGAGAGCCCAAATCAGTTTTCAAAATCTCCTTTTAGAGATTCACACTTTTGACCGACAGACAACGAGGTACACTATCAAGCATGTGCACAGGGTCATATTTAGGATGTAAGTTGGCCCTGTGCAATCTTTTTTTCTTAGGTCCCATCTTTCCTCAGGTAACCTTAAGAATAGCTGTTTCAATGACAGAACACTAATCTAATGCAAGTTTGATAAATATAAAAGCAATAAAATTATAATTTTATTACTACTAATGACATTTTGTTGCCGCAAAAATATGTTGCCCTTTACAGTTGCGCTTGTTACACACGCCTAAATACAGCGGTGCCTGTACCATACATGATTAATTTGATGAAAATGTCTTACATTAGAGTTGCAGCCACAGCTATGGGAGCAACAGAGACTAAAACCATCAAACTGGATCCCACTGAAAAACTGAATCTTCAGAATGCCAACATAAAACAAATGTGAGTTTGTATACCCCTATACATACATTATTTAATTGTCTAATAATCCACTGAGATCCAGTAAGTTGCATCTTGGAATTCAGTCCTATATGACAAATCCCTGACATTCCGTTCAGCCAACCTCCTAAGAGGCTAAAATTATGGCATCACTAATAGCATTGCCTGGTGTACTATGCTGGTCTAGGTGGCTGGGGTTAAACTAGCTAGTGGATGGTGGAAGGATCTCTAGGTATTTAGGTTGACTGTGAAAAATGGAAAGACAGTTGTGGATCAATACTCAAATTTTTTAAAGGAGGTAGGCTGTATAAGACAGCTAACTCAACAAAACACCCCAAACCCATAAAACTGTAAATATGCATCTAGCAAAATTTACATTCTTACAAAAGCAGGTACATCAAAACCTTTTAGGTGAATTCGGGATTAAACAAACGACATATGCCCCTCACATTTCATTATATACTAGGATAATATATCTGTTACGCCGAATGTTGGGCGGCGTATATTAAACCTGGCATCCGCTGTGCCAGCGGCTTCTAGTGGAGGAGCGCATTGGGGAGGATACTAACCTTATCTTAGGAATAGGAAATGCAACCTGAAAATTTTATTATGGCAGGAAGACCTTAGCCTTGGCTATCAGCTGGTCTAAGAGTGAGGCTCCGACAGGCGGACAGATAGAACACTGCTCTTTTGAGCCGGCAGCGCCTGCAACCTGCTTTGTTCCAAACGTACTGGTGTTACCTTTTCTTTAAAGTAAATAATTCAGGCCGAGGAATGGATCACGATGCATGGGCTACATGTGGTCTCTTCATTACTGCCCAGTCTTTGTGCTGTGGAGAGGACGAACTTCATCCCTGGCCGTAACTGGTCTCGGAACGCGGGCAGGTCTTGACAGTAACACTCGCCATCGCCACGGGCTGTGAGTCCCATGCCTCCTAATAGCACAATATAATACTATCGTCTGGAAATACTGAAAGGTGCCAATGATATGCAGAAAGCAACGATGAGGGTATTTCAGAACTATTTTCTTTTTCCTAATAGAAATAGAAAAGTCTTCGGAACAGTCTAAATTACGCTAATACCAAGTTGAAAAATGAAATATGAAAAAGCATTTATTCAGAAATCATACCAATGAAAGTAAATAAGGCAATAATAAAACAAACAAGTGAATTTAAATAGCTCAGGCCAGTTTTCAGCACAGGTAGAAAATAGGTATAACAATCAACAAATGATGTGCCAAAGGAAATCATGTGCTGTGAAAACTAACACAACTTCTGACTGATGTATACCAAGGCAAACAAGATCTGAAGGGAATGTTTTGGCGGACAGTGAGCACAGTGACTAGTGGACCTGGTGGACATTCCACACTCAAGGGAAAGACAAGATTGAAAAACAGTCAGACTGTGACTGGTTCCATCAAAATTTGACCTCTGCGCTCACTGCTGAAGATGGGAACAGAGCGTAATGTGAATATATCGAGTTAAATGATTCATGTACTTAGGTCAGCTCAGCTGAATTCATCTTTTAAGAACAATTGTTTAGGTGGACATTTATGCCAGCTGGAAAAATAAAGAAGTCATCAACGCATTGCTATTTAATGGCTAGAATTTAGTCAGGCAGTGTGAAAAATTGTCTTCACAAATCGACACCTACTGCCACTTTGTCATGCTTGAATCGGTCTTTATATTGCTTGTCGTATCCACTTATTTATCCTAACTTTTCTTTGTATCCTGTTCTTTTTCCTCTCCTTTTTGTACAGGCCCTTCTTATCTATGAGTGAGCTAGTGTCCGCATCATGTTTTGTATTTTCTCGTCGTTTTTATCATTTAATGACTAGTCAATAACTTTTTCCTACCTTCTGCTTTGTCAATACAATGAATGTTTTTTTTTTAAATCTGACTGCAGACCTGTGTTCCTATATTCAGACTGCTAACTTGGATTCATGCGTGACATTAGATATTTCGAGCATAGTTATCTTTCTCGAAGCTGTAGTTATAAAATTATAATGTATTAGTAGTAGTGTCAATTTGGTAAAATTGTTTTGTTGAAAAGTTATTTGCGTAAGTAAAGTAAAGTAAAGATCCCTTAGTAAAGATCCCTTTTCACGCCTTTCGGCGCAGAGCGTCCCATATTTTTACAGACCATCAGCACTGTGGGTAATGTGGTCAGCATTACGCCGGCTGTCTTTACTTTCCCAGGACAGCCCATCCTGGTACCCATTTTAGGCTGGGTCGACCTGCGACGTCCCATACCACGACAAAAATCCACGCAGCCTGCAGTGGGTTTCGATCGCGGTATGCTGGCTTACGAGTCGGACTCGCAACGCCTTAGCCACGGACGCCGCTTAGTTGCGTATCCCTTAACAAAACGTCACAACCCAACCGCCAGCATTTCTCTTGCATTTCTTGTCTGTTTGTGGAATTCTGGAATGCTACGGTATACCAGCCAAAAATATTACGCATTATGTGAAATTTATACGATAGTTCAGAATATGCAGCGCGCACTAAAAATAATTTCAATGACTGTTTCTTGTTGGGGGGGGGGGGGGGGGGGGGGGGGGGTGGGGGGGGGGGGGGGGGGGGGGGGGGGGGGGGGGGGGGGGGGGGTGGGGGGGGGGGGGGGGGGGGGGGGGGGGGGGGGGGGGGGGGGGGGGGGGGGGGGGGGGGGGGGCGGGGGAGGGGGGGGGGGGGTGGGGGGTGGGGGGGGGGGGGGGGGGGGGGGGGGGGGGGGGGGGGGGGGGGGGGGGGGGGGGGGGGGGGGGGGGGGGGGGGGGGGGGGGGGGGGGGGGGGGGGGGGGGGGGGGTAAAAACTGGAATAATTCCAATTCCCAATTCCTTATTAAAAAAAAAAAAAAAAAAAAAAAAAATCAAAAGCCTAACTATTTTCAACCTGCTGCTAAATAGCTGAGGCTGTCAACAGTGTCCGGCTATATTTGTGGTCTTGTTTATTTGCACCACTTTTGTGGCTAAAGTTCTGGTGTTTTGCGCCGTTTCTTGGCTTAAGGCGTCTTTCCAACAAGTCAGACCGCACATTCCCTATCCTATTGTCAACTGTTCTTCTTGCCCTTTCATTTCTATTGTTTCCTCCTTGGTTTAAGCTCTTTCTGATTTGGCCAGGCGTGTTTCGTCCTTTGGACCACCATTTGTAATTTTAAAATTTTGAGTATTTTACTTAGCCAAACAGTACTGAAAACAGTTTTTGGGTTTGGATAGATCCGTAATGTGAGAATTTTCCGCTTTTGACCACAGTGGTCTTATTGTTGTCTTTTGTTATAGTGAACTGGAATAAAACAAGGCTGCGTTCTATCTCCCTATGGAGTAGCTATTGCTTGGGTGATTAAACCTGTTGCAAGTGCAATACTGGCATTGATTGGGTAGATAATAGGCAACTGGAAAACATGGATTTCGCAGACGATTTCGCTCTGTTGAGTGAAATAACAAAGAAATGCAAAGAAAAACAGACGATTTGTCGTTCACGGTATCAAAATTAGGACTTAAAATAAGTTATGAGAAGAAAATGTATATATTAAAGATGCCAACTACAAATCATATAAAAATTTTGACTCCTATGAAAGAAATTATGATACACTGGCAAAGCAACCTTTAAAATCTTTAACAGAATATGGAGCTTGAAGTTATACAGCTTTAAAACCAAAATACGAATCTTCATTTCTAACGTTATTTCTAACAAATGCTTGCGAAAATTGGAGAACTACTAGTAAAATGGAACGTAAGTTAAATGCATTTGGAAATTAATGTCTGAGAAACATCATAAACATAAAAGGGAATGAATTTAAAAAAAAAGGTGATGGGATCAGATTAATGTCTGGACAAATACCTGTATCGATTGCAATAAGACAAAGAAGGTGTAGATATGTAGGATACGCTCTGAGACGAAATGAGCAAATATTTGCAAAACAGGACCTACAATGGGAAACAAATGGTCTCAGAAAAGGTGAACATCCAAAGAAAACATTAGGAAAAAATTATTACGAGAAGTTAAAAACGCTGGGCTAAACTCCATGTCAGAAAACAGAGAGCTGCATGCAGTAGATCGGAATGGAGGAATGTAATACAAGCCCTACGTGACGCTCTAACACAGCGATTCTCAACATGTGGGTTAAAAAAAAAGTTAAGATCCCTTTTCACGCCTTAGGCGCATCGGGTAAATGGGAAGAGCGTTCCATATTTTTACAGACCAATCGGCACTTGATGGGTAATGTTGTCAGCATTACGCCGGCCGTCTTTACTTTCCCAGGACAGCCATCCTGGTACCCATTTTAGACTGGGTCCACCTGCGACGCCCCATACCACGATAAAAATCCACGCAGGCAGCAGTGGGTTTCGATCGCGGTACGTTGGATTACGAGTCGGACTCGCAACGCCCAATCAACATGTGGGTCGCGACCCTTTATTTTGGGACAAACGACCCTTTCACATGGGTCGCCTAAGACCATCGGAAAACACATAATTGCTGAAGTTATGGAGTAGCAACGAAAACAGTGTTATGGTTGGGGGGTTGCCAAAACACGAGGAACTGTATTGAAGGGTCGCGGCATTGGGAAGTTTGGGAACCACTGCTATAACGGCACACGAAGGATGATGATGATGCGTTTGTAATTGCTCGCTCAAAGACGATGCTTATACATTTTGTCAAAATTATCACAAAGCGGCCTACTGCCAAATCATCTGTCACTGAATGAATCTCGGCATCTGTCAGATTATGAAACTGAACTTATGACACTAAATAATAGATTTCAACATTGAAACGAAAGAGCTGGTAATTTATTATAAAATAAAACTGCACAGGCGTGTGAAAAAAATATTATTCGTTATTATTAGCATTAAAAAATATGGTTGAATAAAATTGTCAGAGTTATGACTCACTACTGTAAATTCTCTCTAAATGCTAGGATTGTGAACGTGTACAACACAAAGAATGAGATCAGAAAAGCCCAGAATGTCACTATTGGAGACTACAGCAGCATCGCGTGCTACGATCGTGAGTTATTTATTTGCTGATTCTCATTAGTAATCATTGTGAACATTTTGTATTTAACCAAGATATGTTATTTCTTTCCAATCGACTGAATATAATAAATGCAAAGAGTGGAGAAAACCTTTTATATTTTATTTGTTATTTGCAGGCAAAGAAAAAATTATTAGTAGAAAAAGAAGAGTCTATAGAAATATCTTTACCAGATTAATAATAGGTTTAATATAACTTGACGTTACCATATTCATTTAAGTACAGAGATAAAAGTACAAATCATAGAATACCGTGTAAATTCAAATAATCAGTTTTCACTTCAAATTAAAAAAAAAAAAAGATAGAGAAATGAGTATAAGATGTGCAAAGGCAAATCAGGTGGAGGGACAAATAACAAACACTCCTGAGTCATAAACAAGATACAGAAGGTTTTAATCAAATCTGATAAGAACTATCTTTTGGGAAACATTATATTACCACTCTCACACATTTGTCAACTTTTTCTTCTTGACTTCCTCTTTTACCGCTTCAGATGTCGAGGGAGATATCAGGCTCATTTTTTGGCTTTTTCTGGCCGACTCGGCCACAGACACATTTACACTGCACTACTACAACAAATTAGAGGAAAATCCTAACAAAAGAAGCAAAAATCGTGTAAGAGTTATCTCGATAACATGGAGGGATACAATTTTTAAAAAGTTAATAAATTAAAAGATACTGAATGTAATCAGGCATGCAGTTCAATCTGAAGAAGGGGAAAAAACCCACAGATGGATTGGTTTGGCAATCTAGCAATAATGCCCTGATACTTACTAGCAAGAGAGCCACTTGAAAACATATTTATTAAATCCAGAGCAAGAGAAGAGACACTGGAAAATGAAGACCACCAGCTCACACGAATCACATTAGAAAAAGCACATGAAATATCCCCACATCTCATTTAACACGTCACTGAGTTAACTTGAATAAGAGAAGACGATCAATGACAAACAGACAGAGAGACAGACAGACAAACAGAAAACAGACAGACGGAACGACCGACGGATGGACAGACGGATGGATGGACGGACAGACAGGCCGGCAGGCCGGCAGAGATACAGACAAACAGACAAATAGACAGACAGACAGACAGACAGACAGACAGACAGACAGACAGACAGACAGACAGACAGACAGACAGACAGACAGACAGACAGACAGACAGACAGACAGACAGACAGACAGACAGACAGACAGACAGACAGACAGACAGACAGACAGACAGACAGACAGACAGATAGATAGATAGACAGATAGATAGACAGACAGACAGACAGACAGACAGACAGACAGATAGATAGATAGATAGATAGATAGATAGATAGATAGATAGATAGATAGATAGATAGATAGATAGATAGATAGATAGATAGATAGATAGATAGATAGATAGATAGATAGATAGATAGATAGATAGATAGATAGATAGATAGATAAGATAGATAGATAGATAGATAGATAGATAGATAGATAGATAGATAGATAGATAGATAGATAGATAGATAGATAGATAGATAGATAGATAGATAGATAGATAGATAGATAGATAGATAGATAGATAGATAGATAGATAGATAGATAGATAGATAGATAGATAGATAGATAGATAGATAGATAGATAGACAGACAGATAGATAGATAGATAGATAGATAGATAGATAGATAGATAGATAGATAGATAGATAGATAGATAGATAGATAGATAGATAGATAGATAGATAGATAGATAGATAGATAGATAGATAGATAGATAGATAGATAGATAGATAGATAGATAGATAGATAGATAGATAGATAGATAGATAGATAGATAGATAGATAGATAGATAGATAGATAGATAGATAGATAGATAGATAGATAGATAGATAGATAGATAGATAGATAGATAGATAGATAGATAGATAGATAGATAGATAGATAGATAGATAGATAGATAGATAGATAGATAGATAGATAGATAGATAGATAGATAGATAGATAGATAGACAGATAGATAGTTAGATGGATAGATGGATAGATGGATAGATGGATAGATAGAAAGATAGAAAGATAGAAAGATAGAAAGATAGATAGATAGATAGACAGATAGATAGACAGACAGACAGACAGACAGACAGACAGACAGACCGACCGACCGACCGACCGACCGACCGACCGACCGACCGACCGACCGACCGACCGACCGACGGACGGACGGACGGACGGACGGACGGACGGACGGACCGACCGACCGACCGACCGACCGACCGACCGACCGACCGACCGACCGACGGACGGACGGACGGACGGACGGACGGACGGACGGACGGACGGACGGACGGACGGACGGACGGACGGACGGACGGACGGACGGACGGACGGACGGATAGATAGATAGATAGATAGATAGATAGATAGATAGATAGATAGATAGATAGATAGATAGATAGATAGATAGATAGATAGATAGATAGATAGATAGATAGATAGATAGATGGATAGATAGATAGATAGATAGATAGATAGATAGATAGATAGATAGATAGATAGATAGATAGATAGATAGATAGATAGATAGATAGATAGATAGATAGATAGATAGATAGATAGATAGATAGATAGATAGATAGATAGATAGATAGATAGATAGATAGATAGATAGATAGATAGATAGATAGATAGATAGATAGATAGATAGATAGATAGATAGATAGATAGATAGATAGATAGATAGATAGATAGATAGATAGATAGATAGATAGATAGATAGATAGATAGATAGATAGATAGATAGATAGATAGATAGATAGATAGATAGATAGATAGATAGATAGATAGATAGATAGATAGATAGATAGATAGATAGTGAGAAGTAAGTAGATGGAAATCTGTCTGTCTATCATACCTCTCTTCTCTCTGTCTCTGTCTCTGTCTCTCTCTCTCTCTCTCTCTCTCTCTCTCTCTCTCTCTCTCTCTCTCTCTCTCTCTGTCCCTTTATCTGTCCCCCCCCCCCCCCACTTTCTCTCCCTCGAACTCCATATCTAATTTCCTATATATAGTTTTTTTTTAAGTAATTTAAATCCAGCTTATCAAATGTATAATTTACTATGTCATTTACAGTTGTTCCCAAATGTTTCAGAGCTGACAAAACAAGATGGACAAGGACAATAACACACATTGAAAACACAGATTCTTGACCCCAAAAATGATTGTTTAATTAATTGAATACATTATTGTCAGTGTGCTACTTTTAAATTGAATTATCATTCTTTCAACATTGTAACGTTTTTTCTTGAAATATGCCTTGCATTTCAAATTAATTTAACATTAATGTGGATCAAATATTTAGTTGGCACTTTGCAAAAGTTACCTAGTGCAATTTTGACGATTGTCACCTAAGTGCATTTCATGGTTGTAATTTGTCAGTTTTAAAATATGCAGTATGCCCAATGTACACATGTGAATTCCTACATCAAACAGGTCAAAATGAAGTATTACTTTCCACGATACAACACATTTTGCTAATGGATCTCTGTGTTAAAAAATGCGATTGTTTCTAAACAAGGAATCACATGTTAATAGAGAAGCAAACTATTTTGATAGCTAAGTCTGACCACTAGTATGTTCGCCATATGTGCATTTTTCTTTTTGTGTAATAGTTTTAGATGCAAAGATTTGGAACACATTGTAATTAAATGTTGACAGAATAGTAAACTATTTTCAAAGCCAAGTCTTACTATATTAAATTTGATTAATTCAAAACATTGGAAGCAAAACGAGAAATGTCTAGACAACTGCTTGTATCACCACTTATCAGACTACTAAGACGATAATCTATTGGACACATCATGAGGAGAAACAGACAAACAGTTATCAAACTGGCAATGAAATTGGAGACTATTGGATTGAGGAAGTCAAAGAGAAACCCTAAAGTGAACGTTGCTGAGAAAGGCCAAGGGAGCTGAACTGTGTTCTCTCCATGATATCGAGAGGATTGCACAGTATAGAAAGGAATGGAAGATTAGGCTAACTACAAACCCAATGAGGTGTATATTGGCACAATAGGATAATAATGATACGTCAGAGAGAAGAATATTCTGATAGCTAGGTGAGAACACTAGATGGTTAAGCTGTGGTTTCTGACTCTACCGTCCTCCTTCAATGTGGCTTATTTGAAGCGTCCACACTGAATAACAATCTCACAATGGACCTCGTGGTGCTCATTCATATTGTTTTGTCCACTGCTTCGTAGCCCTACTTACCCACAGTATTTGCAAGTTAGTCTTACATCATTAACCAACCCTGGATCTCATTGCGGACCAGTCTCTACCCAAAACAGTCAAGTCCTAAAATATAGGATATAAGGGATTCAGGGACTGTGATAATTGTATTTAGCTAGACTTTTTGCATCAGCAGTCGAGGATTAGATATCTGATTAGTGACGAAAATGAGTGGGTTAAAAAAAAAAACCAAATATGTTGATATGGGCACGTGCTTCAATACCAAACATGAAGGACCATTGAGTCTTAGTTCTGTGGCAAATGTGGTCAAGGCCCTTTGAGAACAAGTAACGAAGTCGGAGGAGAAACGAGATTAATATGGCCCGGAGAGAATGATGAACCATGGTGTAACCAGAGGTTCTTGCCGGCTCACTACTTTCAGAGAAAAGGCGAGACGATCATATAACCAGATTACGGCCGGTACCTTTAGTATTGGAACCACGCTGGCTGTTGAAGATGGGGACGGAGCGCATATGGGAAAGTCCCGAGTACTGTGATGTCAATTCTGGAGTTAAGTTAACTCTCTGCCCTTTGACCTGTCCGGCAGAGCTTCCAGGGTAATTGAGAAGCACAATCTCCCCACCATGTCAAGGTGGAGACGCTTTTAGGGGTTTGCACGGAAGTATACCCCAAAGCACTCAAAGAAGAGGGTCAGAAAGATAATATACATGCAGACCTACAACTGGAGAGTCAAAGCCAGTCACAGAAAAGATTGATGGATCAATAATGCGGTATTGAACCTAGAAGGTTCGGAAGGCTGAAGATGCAGAAGATCTCTAATTTAAATATTGTTTCCTAAATTCATTTTATATTATTTAATATTATTATATGTAATTGCTTTGCTGAACATTGTTGTTGTTGTTGTTGTCGGCGTCTGTTGCTTAGGCGTTGCGAACGTGCTTCATAATGCCGGGGTGCTGGGTTCGATCCTAACTGCGGACGGTTTGTCTTGCCGCAGTTTGGACAGTGGGACCGAGAGCTGACCGTCAGGAGCAGTGGCAAACTGCTGAACGTAAAATTTTCCTAGAAAAACCACAACAGCCAATAAATGCTGGTGTTGGTTCTACAACGCCCTGTAAAGGATACATAAATATATTATCATTTACTAAAATAATGCTTAGACCCCTTGACAAACTGCCTCCTATAAAATTTGTATGGGCGACATGGAATCATGCTTAGACTGCCACTTTCCTTCTGTGTGGCTAACATAAAGTGTCGTCATTGAATACCAGTCTCAGAGTGGACCTCATCGTGCTCAATTATTTGAATGTTATTTCAACGGCTCGCCTGTCCCACTTATATTAGATATCTGTTTGGTAACGAAAAAGAGAGTTTACAGAGATGATTTTATCGACCCTATGCTTCATGGACAAACCTGCAGGGTCAAAGTGTCTATATTGTTCCCTATCCTTTGACCTGTCCAGCCTGGGATGCTCTGCCGGTAGCTACGCTATAGCCGGTATAGTTTCTGGGTAATTGAGAAGTAGTAGCTCCCCCACAAGGCCAAGAAGGAGACATATTCAGGGAGTGTAAGCATAGTTTAATGCGAGCAGACGACGAGACAGACCAAGAACATGGTAACTGGAAAGAGAAGGCCAATCAGAAAAAGTATTTTGGGCGATATCTGCAACAGCGTACCTCAAGGGCTTGGAAATACCGTAGAAAAAGGCTTTGTACTTATTTAGATTTTTAGATGTTTCGTTTTATAATTTATTTAGCACTGCATTGTAAATATGCTACTTTTTCTGAACTATATTGGTTTTCAAATGTTTTATATGTTGCAAAATTTAGATTATACCTAAGAGTTTTTAATCCAACAGAGTTGAACGTTTTTTGTTGCTGTTCCTGTATCTAAGTTTAAACTTGCCTGGTGCTGTTCTTGTATCTTAGTTCTAATTTGCTTGGTGCTGTTCTTGTATCTAAGTTCTAATTTACTTAGTGCTGTTCCTGTATCAAATTTTTAGCTAGCTTAGTGCTGTTCCTGTATCTAAGTTTTAACTTCCTTGCTGCTGTTCTTGTATCTGCCTCTGGTTTTAAAGAAGTAATAAAAGGGATTTCGTTTTCTGTCTTTAAAATTTCCCCATGTCTTCCTATGCCCTTTGTTTATTGATACATTTATTCCAAGCATTCAGGTTGAGTGGCATTCAAACCCACCAGGACCACACAACGAGCTATAAACACCCTATGACACAAAGACAACTATTAGGATGAGAATCACTCGGATACAGGTCCCAGAAACCCCGTTCAACCGTAAGGCTATATTAAGGCCCCTGACTATAGCGGGGGTGAGGCTTTAAAAGGGAGGTAAGTTGTACCCCATCAGGACATCACACAAGCAATAAACACCCGGTGGCACAAAGTACCACTATGCGGATGAGGATCACCCGTGGAGAAGTCATGGAAACCCCCTTCAGCCGTTAGCCCGGCTATATTTAGGACCCCCGGCAAAAGTCAGGGTGGTGCTTCAAAGTAACTAAAAATTGCATCCCACATGGGGACGACGAGTATAACTTGAAAAAAAAATTGCATCCCACATGGGGACGACGAGTATAACTTGAAATAAATAAATTGCATCCCACATGGGGACGACGAGTATAACTTAAAAAAGAAAACTGCATCCAATATTGGGACGAGTTTATGATACAAGCATTCAGGTTATATTCCTCACACAAGTAAACAAGTCTATCTTCTCCTGTGTAATGCTATTTAATATTTAGTTGCACAATGTGTGTGTGTGTGTGTGTGTGTGTGTATGTCGACAATTTTAGCATTTATTTTTCCCATTTTAGTTAGTACTTCAGTTGATTTCATTAAAGTATGAATTATGTTTAATACCTTATAGTATTCCGAGTCTTCAGATAAACATTCCTATGTGGATGCGTATGTTCACATACGGTCAAATTAAAGGGTTTTTCTCTCATTGTTTCAGGCATTATCCTGTAATTATATGTCAAATTAGGTAAAGCAGTACAGTGGTAACTCGGTATCTGAACATAATTAGTTCCAAGACGATGTTCGAATTCGAAATTATTCTAGTTCGAAAAAAATTTTCTTAATGAAAACTAAATTAATCTGTTTCAGGTCCAACAAACTCAAATTAAACAATTTTGTTTTTCCTAAATACACTACATAGTAAATATAGTAACACATGGTGATCAAATTTCAATTCAGAAAAAAATAAATATAACAAATATAAAAACATTGTATTTGTTGTATCTTGATGAGAATGATAACATAGCAGTAGGAGACGGAAGGATTTAAGAAGATTATTGTTTGGAAGGTGACCTCCCTTCCATGATAACAAAAGGAATCCTTTCTGGTGTTTCATGCCCAAGTTCACTACATGTAGAGGGTTTGGGGTCACTAGTTTTTGTTGACTGTCACCCTTCCAAAATGCTCTGATGCTGGCGACCAATTGTAATCTTTCGAAAATGTTCCCTAATGTTATCACTGATTAAGTTGACATGCCTTATTGCGTTTTCGATCATATGGTGAGAAGATCTTGAATTTCAGTGGTGCTAATCCTTTTAGCTTCCTCCTCTTCCTTCTCAGAGGAACATTCTGCAGCAGTGTCTTCCTTCTGCTGATGGTGAGGCACACACAAAAAACCTTGGACGTTTTGTTTGCATTCTTTTATCCAAAATGTAGCAAGGGGGGGGGGGGGAACAGTGTAAAATCAGCAGCCGCTAAAAAAAAGCCACGAACTGTATAATGTTGTCTCTGTAATAAGGGAGACTTGAAGTTAAGAAAAAAAAAATATTCATGTTTTAAAGATTATAAGGAAGCTTTAGACAGAAATCAATATGAACAACTGATTCCTATTTTTAAGATAAAGGATTATATGCTTGTGATTTCATGTAACTATTTCAGCCTTAGCTTGTGTTACAGCTG